ACAGGTAATAAAAAACAGATTATGCTGGGGCCAGCATGATGGCTCCACTGGCTAATTCTCAGCCTGTAAGCACCAGCATCCCGACTGGGTGCCGAGTCGCATCCCAGCTGCTCCACTTCCCATCCTGCTCCCTACTTGTGGCCTGGAAAAGCAGTAAAGGATGGCTCAAATGCTTGGGACCCTGCACCCGCATGGGAGACCTGCAAGCTCCTGGCTTCAGATCAGCTCAGCTCTGGCCACTGCGGCCATTTGGGGAGTGACCCAACAGACGGAAGGTCTCTCTGTCTCTCCTTCTTTCTGTAAACAAACCTTTCCAATAAAAATAAACAAATGCGTTTTTAAAATAGAGATTGCTATATATTATTTCTTTACTTTGAACACTGGAACAGAGAAGAGGCTCAGCACAAATTCGTGGAAAGAGTAAACTCTTATCCTTAAAATGAACAAAATCGGAACCCCTACCTTATTAGCCTCTTGTGATAGAGAACCTTCCTGTGTTCTCTGTACAGGGTTTCACTTTATAAATTATGGTAAAATGACATGAATTTACACTCCTTCATTTCATAATTTGTGAAATGAGTACTCTACCACAGTTTTCTCAAAATTAAGACAGAATTTTCTGGGTAAATAATGGATAAACAAACAGCATGAGGAAAATTCTTAGCAGGCATGTTTACTTAAACAATTTTAGGGCCTTGGTGAACTGTTTACACGTGAGTTGCACTGGTTACAGAGTAGGCTGTAACTATTTATTTTGGAAAACCATCACCTCTGGCTGACTGCGCACTCAGGTACTATGCAGGGCTGCTCTGGGACGCAAGGCAGCAGCGTTCCGAGGGAGGGAAAAAACGACCAAGCAGCAGAGAAGGCAGCTGCTCGATGCTGGTGATGCCAAGAGGTGTCTGACGAGTGCAGTGCATCAGACAGAAAGCATCAGGAGTGAAGCCAAAGGGAGACATTCTGAGAGGACCCGTCATCGTCTAAGGCTTAGATGAAAGTCACTATTTCATAGATCCGTGAAGGCTTCATCCAGGACCCCCACCCCACACCAGACCAAAACTTTTTATTTGAAAGGCAAATATACAGAGAGGAAAGTCTTTCGTCCAATGATTCACTCCCCAAGTAGCTGCAATGGCCAGAACTGAGCCGATCCAAAGGCAGAAGCCAGGAACTTCCCCCTGGTCTCCCATGCGGGTGCAGGGGCCTAAAGCTTTGGGCTGTCTTCAACTACTTTCTCAGGCTACATGCAGGGGCCTGGATAGGAAGAGGGACCACCAGGATTAGAACCAGACCCCATATGGGATCCAGGTGTGTGCAAGGCGAGGTCTTTAGCCGCTAGGCTACGATGCCGGGCCCAGATCAAAACTTTGACATGCTCAAGTTTTTAATACATAATGGCATAAAATACACATACCACTCCCAAACATCCCCTCTGTCCCTTAAATCACCTCTAGATGCTTCCTCCAGGTCTCCCACGTGGCTGCAGGGCCCCAGCAACTGGGCCATCTTCTACTACGTTCCCAGGTCCATAGGCGGAACAGCTGGATCACAACTAGCGGGACAGCTCTTGACACAGCATGTGTTTGCACAGGAAAGCCCAAGAGTCCTGTGGATTTCAACTGCTGCCCAGTCTTACAGCCAATGACACAGTTTTCAAAAAGTGACTTAGCTAAGGGTCAACCTATAGCATAATCCTTTTGGAGGGTAAAATTCAAGAGCATAGCAAACCTAGCATTTTAAATAGAAATCATCATGACCTGAGAAAATTTCTCTGACAGGTTTCAACAGATTTAACCTATTCTGTTAGCATTTACTTTAAAAAGATTAATAAAAGTGTTGCCTTTTAATTGCTGCTTTTAGAAAAGTCAACTTCTGGACTTGGCAAGGTGGCCTAGCAGTTAAAGTCCTCACCTTGAATCTGCTGGGATCCCAATTAGGCACAGGTTCTAATCCTGGCAGCTCTACTTCCCATCCAGCTCCCTGCTTGTGGCCTGGGAAAGCAGTCAAGGGCAGCCCAAAGCCTTGGGACCCTGCACCTATGTGGGAGACTTGGAGGAAGTTCCTGGCTCACGGTTTCGGATCAGCACAGCACCAGCCGTTGCGGTCACTTGGGGAGTGAATCATTGGATGGAAGATCTTTCTCTCTGTCTCTCCTCCTCTCTGTATATCTGCCTTTCCAATAAAAATAAATAAATCTTAAAAAAAGAAAAGAAAAGTCAACTTTTGGGGTTGGCACAATAGCCTAGCAAGCTAATCTTCCACCTGCAGTGCAGACATCCAATATGGGCACTGGTTTATGTCCCTGCTCCTCCACTTCCGATTCAACTCCCTGGTTGTGGCTGGAAAAACAACGAAGGATGGACCAAGTTCTTGGGCCTCTGCATCCACGTGGGAGAAACTCCTGACTCCTGGCTTTAGATAGGCTCAGCTCTGGCCATTGCAGCCATTTGGGGAGTGAACCAGCAGATGAAAGATCTCTCATTCTCTGCCTCTCCTTCTCTCTATAAATCTGCCTTCCAAATAAAAATAGCTAAGTTTTTTTTGAAGTCAACATTTGAACTACAATAGAAGGAAGGAACTATTAAGAAGGTTACAAAATCCACATCTTTGGAGGGATTTAAGAAGCAGTATATTATTTCTCTTCCGATATTGAAACCCAGGAGTTCAGCCATAAGATACTGGTATTTGTGGTGAAAAACATGCCAATCTGGCTGTAAAACCCGCTGGGTAACGTGGGGGAATTCATGTGACATTTCTGGAATACTGGTTTGTTTCCTTATTTACAAGTTGAAAGTGGCTGACTAAACGCTTTCTAAAACTCCCTTCCACAGCAGGGTTCTGGTCAGTGACGAGTCTAGGGGTCAGAGAACACGCTTCTACTCCTGTGCTCCAGCCTGCAGTGCATTCTTGTTCTTCATGACATTAATCTACACCTCCTCTTTAAATTGCTTGGTAATGGTCTTCTCCCTGCCCACGCTGCTATCCCATGGGCTTCCGTAATCCCCTCTCCTCCTGTAAACTTTTCCTCTCAGGGTATTTACATATGTCCTGCTAGGTACATGTTTAGAAATCAGTGGAAAACAGAAAACTCCCATTTTCCCATCCTCGATTGCATGTTCTGGTTTATGAGTGTTCATGAACAGCTATAGAACAAAATGTGCCATTTCACTTAATGTCCAAAGTAACAAAAGTGATCTATAATATAATGATTGGTGGACTTACCTGTTAGCTGACTGGTTAAGGTTTATCAAGTTAAACAAGATCCTTGGCTAGAAATTTTGTATTTTCATTTATTTAATTTAAGGATTCATTTAAAAGGCAGAGTCACACACAGACACACACACACACAGATTGATTTCATTTGCATGTTTACTCCCCAAATGGTAGCAAAGCTAGGACTGGGGCCAGGAAGAAGCCAGGAACTCCATCCAGGTCTCCCACATGGATGGCAGGAACTCCTTGAGCATCAGCTGTGACCTCCCAGGCCCAGGAGCAGAAGCTGGACAGGAAGTTGCGCAGCCAGGACTTGAACCAGCACTGAGTGGTGTCACTGGGGATGTGAGAAAACCTGCCTTGTGGATCATTTTCTTTTGAGCTGAAGATTACATGAACCACCTCCATCTCTGCTCCAGGAATGCATGTGAGCTTTGGAAATTAATTTTGCTTTCTGTAACACAGTTCACTATTTCTAAGGCACTGTGACCCCTTCAGGAAGCCTCAGTAAAGATATCAGCTATCAAATCTCCCCAAAATTTTGATGAGACAGGAAATTTGAGAACTAAAACATATGCTTCATTACTACCCAGTAAACTAAAGCAAATCTGGAAATGTATTTCCTGTTATGCAATTCTTCTAGTCATTCAAGAAGAAAATGTTAAGGGATATTGCCTTTCACATAGATAAGTGACACTTAGGAATCACCAATAGTTGATGAAAATCTCAGCTTGCTCAGTCAATGGTGATGCAAATTAAGAGCTTGTAGAGAAGAATCGCTTTTCCAGGCAGAGCAGCACTACTGGTGAGGAGGCGTACCCCTGCACACCGGGAAGTCAGTCTGCCGTCCATCACGGTTACACGCAGCGCCAGGGCGCCTCTGCTAAGGGCACACCGGGCTCATCACAGCCCACACTGCTGCAGCAAAATTCCATCCTCCTCCCAGCTCTTTCCCAGCCAAACTACTTCAGCAGGCTTTACACACAGCAGTGCACCCACGAGGCTTCTGTTTGCCCAACCTTTTACCAGTCCTCTCCACTCCTCCAGCCAGAAGTCACACCGAAGACTCCTCAATCCAACTACAGCCTGAGTCCCTTCCCAGCATACTAACTACATTTCAACTGTGGAATTATTTAGAAAGTACTAACCTTCCTGGTCATGCCCAATTACCACAATAGGACAATTCCTAAAAATAAGGCTAAACTTCTGAAAACTCTTGGAGCCAATGCTGTAGCACAGTGCTTGAAGCTGCTGCTTCCGACAGCGGCATCGCGTACTGGAGCGTCAGTTCAAATCTGAGCTGCTCCACTTTCAATCCAACTTGTGCTAATGTGCCTGGGAAAGCAGCAGGCGATGGCCAAGTCCTCGGGCCAACACCACTCAGGTGTTAGACTCCGACAGAATTCTGGGCCCCTGGCTTTGGCCTGGCTCTGGCTGCTACAGCCACTTAAGGAGTGAACCAGCAAGGGCAAGATCCACGTTCATATTCATATTCCCTTTCTCCTCTCTCTCTCGGATTTTGCCTTTCAAACAAATAAATAAATCTGCCTCTTGGACCCATGCAGAGCAAACAAATGCAATGACGAGTTAGATATCCTGTGTCAGTAAGCAACATGAAAAAATGACACCTACAGATAATGCAACTAGTAACTGGGGAGTTACGCCAAGAATGGTGTCCTTCTCTTTTTGTGACTGTGATGCGTTTAAAATAACAGACAAGGGAAACTTCTGTGTCTCCAGCTGCCACCAATAAACCCAGCAATGAAGGACATTTTCAAAGCACCCACCTTGTTGAGGACATCTCGCTGGCAGCCGAGATAAAGATTGGGAAGAATTCGTGTTGGCCCAATGTTGGCAACAGGTAAGCAAGGCTGAGAAATGCAGGTGGGGACTAGAGCGGATTTTCCTTCACAGAGGCCAGGGAAACAACGCGAGAACTCGGCAAACCCACCTGAGGACAAACATTTTAAAGTTATGCTGTGCATGAAGTATAAATCAGTCGCCTGTGAACTGCTCGGCTCAACAGTTTAAACCAGAAAAATCAGAACCACAGATCAAAGTGAATAGTGCTGCAAATGAATTCCTTTCCAGAGCCACTGATGTTACATCTGACAGAACTCCAACCCAGGACCAGCTTCCGGGGCGCCACGGGGAGGGTACGCCTGGTCGGCGCCACAGGGACTCCTCTCCCCGCCGGTCTCTCTGCCTCCACGGATCTGCACACACACTTTTTTTTTGTTTATTTTTTGTAGAGAATGGTACACAAAGAAGAATTTAAGGTCAGTCACAAGAAACCAAGACAATTATTCACAGAAGCAAAATAGGCATATTGAACATGTGACCTGAGGCCAAATGTTATATCTCTAAAACAAAATTGATCATGTTAAAACTTCTTTTTAGAAAAAATTTTAAATCTCCCCATTATGTGGATTTTTATTTTCAAAGGTATCAAAAATCACACTGACCCTTACAAATATTTTCTCTATCAAGTTCTTGAGATTCTTCTGGGCAGCGAGTCCAGATTTCCATGATTACTTCTGATTTCTGGAGCCGTCCTGTTCGTTTTGCTAAGCACCATGGAGAAGTGCTGACAGACCCTAATTACCTGGGGCATGTGCACTAAAGCCTGTGGCAAGGCTCCTGGACTCCGAGGAACTCAGGACTTTCCCAGGGCTGGCTTTCTGATGATCTACTCCCTGACCTTCATGAAGTCACAGTCGCGCTATCACTTCATGGAGAGAAATGGGGTAACAGAGGAGGTCCCTTCCCATCTGCTAGGAAAAGGAAAAAACAAACACGGTCTCCCTGCAGTGTTCAATCTAAATATTCTTTGCTCTCCATGTCCAAACCCAGAAACTGAACAGATTCTGGTAAGTTCTCAGATACATTCTTTACAATCCAAACCCTCACTACTCACTCAGACCAGCTCAGGAACCAAGAGTTGACTCGCAGCAGATATCTACAGATTTTTTAAATGATCCTAATTTTAAAAACAACATGTTATCTTTTTACAAAATCATACAATTCCACTTCTACCACCTCTTTAACTGAGCCTTAAACAGGACCCTAAGAATCACTAACATTATGTTTTTCTGCTTGAGTTAACATCCTAATAGACCTGCCCCCACTTGAAGATGCACAGAGGAGCCTTTGAAAACTTCTGGAAAAGCAGGCAAGGGAGAGGGGGAAGAAGCTGGCCCTTATTATCACACTCCCATTATGTTCAACTCAAGCACAGCTCAGGGGATTCCTGCTCCTCCAGCCACGCCCCGCACAGGGTCCACGACGCAGCAAGCTACGGCGGCAGACGCTACTGACGACAAACACATCACTTTCACAGCATACTCTTGAGTGCAAGCCTGGTCTCCAATTTAATGTAGGCATTTTTTCCCCTCAAACTCAAAGTTCTTAAGCTAACTGAGGTTCTTATGGTAACCCAACGGACAAAGAAGGTAGATCCATGGTAAAAGCCTGAAATCTTCCTGGGAGCGAGCAGGGGCCGACGGCACCTACACTTGTGCAGTCAGCATTTCCAAATCATTTACTTCCCAGTCCCTTGTGCTCCCTCATCCCGGAACGCCCACCCTACGCTGGAGGTCACGGCACACACACAAGCTCCCATGACCACGAGGCTGTGGTCGAGTCACTTAACCCCCCCCAGCTCTTAGTTTCCTTATCCACAGAAAGAGGATCATGACGTCACTCCCCTACAGAGTTCTTGAGAGGACTGGGTAACAAGGCTTCAGTGCCACAGGCCTGGCACACAGCAGGCACACAGCATTTGTCAGGCACCGGCGTTCCAGTCCAGGGACTGAACACTCAGGACCCAGCTTCCCCCAAGACCCTTCCCCCACCCCCGAGCCACCAGGGGAAAGCAGCTCTGCCATATTCCCCCAGTGCGGGGGGCCGGACGCCGACAGGCAGGGACAGGCCCGAAGAGTCAAGGCAACAGCGCCCGTCACGTCGCCCTGGCAGTCCTGGCCCAAGGGTGCCGCAAAGAAATCGCATGGCTGATTTGAGTCAAACACACTCTTCCAAACATAGCTGACTGTGGAATTCCCCCGAAATCTATTCATAGCTAGCTGAATTCACAGAGAAATGTTAGAGAATCACCGTAACTACTGAAACGGAGGCCAGGAGAATTTCTGCAAATGTAATCCACAATTTCAAAAAGGGAACCAGCCAATGCTGGGACACAATGTTCAGTGTATTTTTTAATCACTGCTTGTTTCTTTTCAGTCTAACTGCACAGTAGTTATTATTTATGGCAACAGTCCCTCAAGGTGATCCTTCTAATAAACACTGGAGAGTATATCATGTTTTATCTTATATCTAACCAACACAATGATTGACTATTTTCATTATAATTTAACTGCGTGACTTTAAATTTTAACATCTGAGCCCGGCGCGGTGGTGCAAGTGGTTAAGGTCCTCGCCTTGCAAGCCCGGGATCCCATATGGGCGCCGGTTCTAATCCCGGCAGCCCCACTTCCCTTCCAGCTCCCTGCCTGTGGCCCGGGAAAGCAGTCGAGGACGGCCCAAAGCTTTGGGAACCTGCACCCGCGTGGGAGACCCGGAAGAGGCTCCCGGCTTCGGATCGGCATAGCATTGACCACTGCGCTCACTTGGGGAGTGAATCATCGGACGGAAGATCTTCCTCTCTGTCTCTCCTCTCTGTATATCTGCCTTTCCAATAAAAAATAATAATAATAAAAATAAATCTTTAAAAAAATTTTAACATCTGTAAGATTATGATTCTGGTATTTCTCTAAAGAACTTTTTTCACATTTTTCTTTTCTGACTCCAATACTACTCATGCTCATCTGCCATTTCAATTCCATAAAACAACGCTCTAGTAATGTACAGAGAGAGAAACCAGAGAACCCAAGGAAGCTCCACCTGAAGCTTTTACTTTTTTTTTTTTTTAAGATTTATTTATTTTTTGCTGGAAAGTCAGATATACAGAGAGGAGGGGTGACAGAGAGGAAGATCTTCCATCCGATGGTTCACTCCCCAGCTGCAATGGCAGGAGCTGAGCCAATCTGAACCCAGGAGCCAGGAGCTCTTCCAGGTCTCCCAAGCGGGTGCAAGGTCCCAAGGCTTTGGGCCGTCCTCAACTGCTTTCCCAGGCCACAAGCAGGGAGCTGGATGGAAAGCAGGGCCACCAGGATTAGAACTGGAGCCCATATGGGATCCCAGTGCGTTCAAGGCGAGGACTTTAACCATTACGCTTTCGCGTCAGGCCCTCCTTTTACTTTTAAAAACAACCTCACTTAGAATTGAGCTATCGTGTAAGTGATTACAGGACGGATGAACCACGACAGGTACTGCTTTACAGGGTTCACAAGTACTCATTTACCTGCCCAGCGGCCCTGTGACGTAGTACCACCGCTGCTCCCACTCCCTGGTGACATCGCCGAGCCCCAGAAGGCTGGGCCAGGGAGAAAACCACGTGTGCTCCACACCTTACAGTGAACTTCCACTGTCCGCGGATGCACTGACAGCCTTGCTTTTATCTATGGGACCCTGGCCTCACCAGCTGTGACCTGCCCCTTAGTACCAGGACAGAAATGGCCACTGGCCCTCTCCTCATCAGGTGGAAGCAACTTGCTTCCTCAAGGCTGTAGGACTGCAAAGCTTTGACAGGGAAGAAAAAGGGAAGGGGATCTGGCATGATCCAAAACCACACTCCACATGAAACTAGTTACCAAGTTTATAGGTAAACCAGCTGAAATGTCACTGGTTTGTTGGTAATCAAAGTTTGCAGACTAAATGGAGAGCAGGGAATTGGGGAGAAGAGAGGGGAAATCTCTGAGCCTATGAAACTGTACCAAACAACAAACAAATAACAAACAGAAGGGGTATCCTATTCCAGGGTTAGAGCTCCAGGACAACTCCATAGGGAAAGCCTTCATCCTGTCTTCACGTGGGATGCAGACAGCCTCCGGTGACTCTTCAAGGCTTCTGACACCAACCTGCCCAGGCCTAACTGCTGACTACTTCCAATGGGACCTGCAGTGACAGCTCAGTTGGCTAATCCTCTACCTTGCAAGTGTCCAGGATTCCACATGGTCACAGGACATGGTTCCTGTCCCAGCTGCTCAACTTCCCATCCAGCTCCCTGCTTGTGCCCTATTTGAAAGCAACTGAGGATAACCCAAAGCCTTGGGACCCTGCACCCATGTGGGAGACCCAGAAGAAACCTCCTGGCTTTGGATTGGCTCAGCTCAGGTGGTTGCAGCCATTTGGGGAGTGAACCAGCGGATGGAAGATCTTTCTCTCTGTCCCTCCTTTTCTCTAAATCTGCCTTTCCAAAAATAAAAAATTTTCAAACTGGCAGCGACACACAGTGTGCCGTGGCTTCCAGGACATCCCCCTTGGCACTGTCCTGGGTGGCAGAGGCTGGGGGGAGGAGGGGGAGGACAGATCTGTCACAGCCACAAATCGAGTCGGTCGGACAGTCTGAGGCTCAGTTTTATCACTGACTCCTGCCAGGCTTCTAGATCACTTAACTTTATCGGACCCTAAAAGTTCAGCGTGGCTTCAGAAAATTTCAAGATAGAGAAGAGAATGGGAGAAAGAAACCATTGTTCAGTCTCAAAACAAAATGAACAAAGCTAAACAAAACAATACACCACAGAACACAACGTAACAAGAAAGCTCTTGCTTACAAATCTATTCAACTACCATAACAAGATAGCTGAGTGATGGGAGACATTGAAAAGGTTTCACTGAAGCCAGAGCATTCGTGCAGCGCTCTGTCTGGCTTGACGTGTGGCGAACCAGGGCTTGCCGTCGCGCGGGAACACCAGCTCGGGGAGTACACCTTCCTGCTCTTTGTCCGCGACAGTGTTCTAGTCGGCCGACATCCTCCTCCATTGACAATTTTTTCCACTCGCTGACCTTTCATTCACTGTTGTACTCCAGTGACTCCAGTTTCATTAGTAACAG